GGGCAAGGATATTCGCGCTTCGCACAGTATCATTCGCCTCCGGCGGACTCCTCGGTCAGCAGTTCGTGCTTAGGCCTCGATGTCGCTCCGCAACGTGACCTCGGTCAGCGCTTTGTGCTTAGGCCTCGGGTTCGCTCCGCGAGGAACATTCCGCGATCACTCGCCTCCGGCGGACTCCTCGGTCAAATACTCGGTCCGCGCTGTATCACTCGCGCTCCGTGGATCACTCGCCTCCGGCGGACCCCTGTGTCTCTTAGCCCAATACGCTCCACGTGGATCACCCGCCTCCGGCGAACTCCTCGGTCAGCGCTGCGCGCTTAGGCCTCGGGGTCCGACCAGCTCGACTCCCCCCCCTACCCCCCCCCGCACTCACCGCCAGACTCACCTCCAACCCAACCAGCTTATCCTCAACCGCTGCGACATACTTTTTCATTCTCTCGACCTCGTGTAGCAGCAGATAGGACACGCCGCAATACCTGCACGCTGTCGCGTCTGTGTCCAAGTCCTTGACCTCCTCGGGCAGTTCGCCGAGCAGCTGCGCAGGTGCAGCGAGCGACGCAGGTTTTGCTGGGATGTGCGCGTGTTTGGAGCGCGTGGAGAGCGGGAGCGGTGCGCGTGCGGAGGAGGTGGCGGAGTCGAGTGCGGGACTCGGCGGGCGCGACGTTCTCTGTTTTGGCGGCGACTTTCCCGACGCAGGACGCGCGACATTCTGTGGCGGAGACGTCTGCTGCGAGTGCTGCTGCCGAGTGCGGGTCGCATCTGCGCGATTCTGTTCAACAGCAGCGGGAGAGGGATCGATCGCGGGAACTTCGGGGGCCGACGCAGGGATCGCGTTGGACGACGTGGCTGAGGACGTGGACTGCGCGAACGACGCGGCGAGGCGCGATTTGGTGCTGATCATGGGGGGACAGGGCGTGACCGAAGCAAGGACGCCAAGGGACCGTGCGCGGGATCTCATTCCCCATCAAGTTAGTCCCATCAACTAACTTGCTAGTGTTATTTCAGATAGTTAAGACTTTGCCTTGAGCTCGCCCCTAGCGAGCGATATATGTAATTCACGCCGCCATGTCCGGGGCTTGAATTAGAAAGGTTGATGATCCCGTATATTAACTTGGCAATACCCTCGAGACTACATTCAACATCTAGACTCTAGAGCTCAGGCGCCTTCGTGATGGCCAATCCCGCCAGCCTGCGCTCCTTGCCCAGGCGGACCTTGAAGGCGTTGCTCTTCCCCAGCGCCGACAAGTGCTTGAGGTTCCAGGGCATGATGGGTGATGGCGAGGTCTGAAATGTGCTTGCAGGTGCGACACAGGGCGACGAAGAGAAGCCCTACGCAGAGCTCCTTGTCCCCGAGGTCCACCACGGCTTTGGTACGTGAGGATGTACACGAGGCGGAGCAGTATCCGCTTCCGTTAGAGGCTCCTGTCGGCGTCGTCCGTCCCGTGAAAGGGTCGGACCGACAGCCACCTCGCCCTCTCTGGGTGTTTTGGTCCTCCGGCGCCGGCGATTGGTAAGCTCACCTTGCTTACAATTCTCACGGACGTCCACGTTGCCTTGGGCTGGTGCGTATTGGTAGGCCTTGTTTCTTTTGAGGCAGCTCAATCCTTTGGACCGCCTTGTGGAATGCGACCGCCTGCCTGAGTACACGCGTCGCCGTCACGGTTGGTGCAGGTCTGTCTGTGTGCCCTATATGTCGCTGGTCTGGAGGCGCGCCCGAGCGGAGACCCGGGTCTATTCCAAAGCTGCGAGTCCGGCCCAGGGACGGCAGAACCGGGACCCCAGGACAAAATTCGAGTGGTTGATGTGAGACAGCCGGAACTGAGGCCCGTTTGGAAGGGGAAGGACCGGTGAGGGTGTGTTGCCCTTGGTGGTTAGAGTCTAATCCCGGTAACTGCACGCCCGGTAACTGCAGCCATGCACCATCTGCATGCAACGCTTCTGCTCTGTGTCGGGGCAGGTGGTATCTGCAGGTTTCTACGCTGTCTGCATTCTGCAGGTCCACAATGGACCCAAGTGGCAGTTAGAGGATGCAACTCGAATCAACATTCCTCTCACTCTTTACTATAATTAAATTCATACATTTACGAGAGTAAATATCTGATATACGGGACAACATGTGAATTTTACCCATTTTGGGTTGAAATGGGTGCCACAAGCGATTTGGTGGCACTCACAACCGACCATGTTCATCACAAAATGCCAACGACGTGGAAATTTCAAACGCTAAGATTGGGGAGAAGTATTTGGATGACAAAATGTCAAGGGAGACATCATTTTGAAAGCACTCACAACATCGATGGAAGCATTCAACAACACCCAAACCCGCCAAAACCACTAAAAAAATTGCAACCAAATTTATTCCCGATCGACAGTGTCTATATGACCAAAAAATTAATGACAAGGTAAAACAACCTGCATCCGCCACCACCTCACATCGTCGAAATAAAGCGTGGCAAATTCTTATTCGTCTTGATTCTCAGAAACACAGCTCGTTCGGCAACGCCCTTCCACCGCCTCGAGGCTCTCCGGAGCCGGTACAGCGATGGCACGTCCAGGTTCATGAGGATCGCGAAAATGAGCTCTGGGGAGAAAGGTTCGGGTTAAGAAAATGGGAGGGTAGTTCCAGATGCCGTGAGAGTTCGGGTGTCTTGTCGGGATAAGACTCGCCATCAGAACGCACAGGCATGATCAACGCAGGATTCCCTACTCGGAGTGCAAACCGCAACGAGCCAAAAGTGGACCGGAAGCAAAGGGGAGTTCCAGTCGCCACATGTGCCCTGTGTGGGCCTTGGGGGCCATATTGGTGAAACACATCGGGGCGATACATGAAGCCAAAGCAGTAGAACTACTCAGTTACAAGGTCAAGTGCGACATGCACACAAACGAGAAAGCAAAATGAGGTTTCTAGACCGATGCACCATCTGCCGCCGCGCAATTTCGCGCTGGAACATCCCCGACCCCAGTAATATTGTCACCGGACGAGCCGTGCGCAGATGTGCAGCACTAGCAGCGTCAAGAGTAATGCTTTTAGTCGCCGCAAAAGAAAAATCCGGGACGAGGATTGCGTGCGCTTGTAGGTGAATGCCGGTGAGCATTCTTTAGGAGTCAGCGTCCAGCTTCGACACGCAACGCGACAAGGCAATGCATGGCGCGCAGCATTGCTCAAAGGCGGGAAAGTGGAAAATGTGCAACTGATTATCTACGGATTGATGAGCGAAGCAGAGTTCCTGGTGCCGCGTGTGCCCTGTGGACCTTTGAGGCAGTGGTGAAATTACTCACGAATCATCCAAATGGAAGGGCCGGTGGAAACACACCCATCCAACTCCTGTCACCGGAGAGCCGTGCGCAGATGTGCTGCAGTGGCAACGTCGAGTGTAAACTTTGTAGTCACCGCGCGGAGACATCTGGGGTGAGGGTCATATGTGCTCGTGGGTAGACGTCGGTGAGCTTTGTCATGACAGATGATCCAACGTCCCACCTCAACACCCAACGCGATACGGTACGGCACGCGGCGTTGTACGAAGGCAGGGAAATAATAAAAACGCGCTTTCGACTATCCACTGATTGATGCGCCTGTACAATGCGATGGATAAAAAGTGTTGTGGCTTTCGGCGGCATTTAATAAGTCCATAAATAAATAACTCAAAAGAGGGAAAAGGCTGAGTGTGTCGGCACAAATTGAAAAGCTGAGAGCAAGGTGCTTTAGTGCCTTCGTCCGGCCACCAGACAAGCGATACCGAAAAGTTAAAAATGAGGGAGGGAGAGCTCCAGGTGATTGACGCAGGATGCACTAAATTGAGCACATTAAGCAAAAGGGAGTTTCTGTTGCCGCCTGTGGTTTCCATGCCGATACACAGTCTCAAATCCCACGCCACTTTGCGTTGGACGCCTTCCATTCTTCCCGGTCCTGTCACCGGAAGTAGCGTCAGCGTCGAGCGCAAAACTTATAGTCACCGCAGAGGACATATCCGGGGCGAGGGTTGCTTGTGCTCGTGGGTGGATGTTGGTGAGCTTTCCCGGCACATGTCCCAGAGAACCACCTCAACACGCAACGCGGCACGGCACGGCGCGCGACTGTACAAAAGATGGGAAAAGGTGAAGATGCACTACTGACTAGCTACCTATTTGCGCGCCTGTACATTGTGTTGGATGGCAATGATACATGATGACCTAGCCTTAAGTCGGCACTCGTGCAAGCCTCTGAAAGGGATTCACCAGTGATAGACACATGATGTACACATGACCTCTCACCGCATGGAGCAAAAAGTAAAGGATTGGGGAAGGTGCTCGAGCGCAGAGTGCAATGTAATGCTTTTGTCCGTCATTGGCGCAAGACTCCACGTGACAGAAAATGATGATCGGCATATGGTGCATCACAATGAGTGCATACTGTGTCGATTACTAATTGAGAATCAGGGAGGAAGCGGTGTGTGTTCCTTTGGGTCAGCTGTTGTGACGGGCAAAACTCTGCACAGCGCCGCTGATTCCAGCGGGTGGTGAAGTGTTCTTCCGAGTCCCGCCACTGGTAAAATTGATTCACGGAACACTTGTTAGGCTGCCGCCATTGACGCACTTTAGCACGAATCCACACAATGCGCCATTGAAATTTCTTAATGTTTCCTATTCTGTTGTCTCGTGTGGAAAATGTCTTGCAGCGCTCTCCACTTCAAAGCACGCTTTTGCGTAAAGCTGGATCCTCAACCTGATGAACAGCCTGAACCGCATGAGGTTCGGTGCGAAAGGCGGATCTCTCTCTGACAGACAGGGGACTACGAGAGCTCTTGTATTTCAGATTCTGTGTACTTTCAGCAGCTGATGGTCGCGGGGGCCTAATGAATAAATCAACATGAAACTGGTTGTTCAGTGATCATTAGTACTGTGAGGCGTAATACTGACATAAGGACACTTTCCTTCGACAGGAGGACATTTGATGGTCCGAATGAAACATCGCATATTCTATACTATTAGAACGTAGATATTTGCTTTTTGAAACTCTTAACTTCGTCGTAGTTCAGAGGAAAGAACGTCTGGCTTCGGACCAGAAGGTCGCAGGTTCGATCCCTGCCGACGGCGCCTTTTGACTTTTGCAACCTTTGAATTTTTTTTTTTCTGATCCACCCGGCACTTATTTTTTAGCAATGCAAGATACTTTCACAAGGATCGTTGTTGTATTGAACATAGTTCGCTTTGAATTCTTGTTATGTCAAATTCTATTTGCCAGTGGTTGGTAAACTTCGAATGTGCAAAACCCGACAAGGCTAATAGTGTAACCCGCTAGGCTCTGTAACAATACGTGGAACAGTTCATGGGGACTGACAGTAAAAGCCGATATGGCCGTGCCTCCGCTTGCACCCAGTTCGACGTGCTAATGAACCCCGGTGAAACATGATGAGCAGTAAGGTGTAGAGATGGGTGACTCCTGTTGCTTTCTTGGCGGGTCCCATTTAGACCGCCTCCAGTCAAGATCCGACACGGCGCCGTCTGTCACCGCGCTTATCTTGGCACAGTTCTGACATATTCTGACCCCGCATTCAGCGCACCTCGTGGCCCCCTCGTCAGTGTGGTTTCTGGTACACCACAATCTGGAACACTCGGCGCATGGAGCCAATGTGGATTCGTGAGCGCCGCAGTCGTTGCAGCACGAGACGCTGCATCCTATGGCGCTGCAGGAAGGCCAGAGCGCGCGACACGCTGGGCAAGCGAGGACAATGTGTGAGATTTCCGTGATGTTGGGGGTACGTTTCGCGCCAGGCTGGCTGTCGTCGACATCAGACGTGGGTGAATACGATGTCCACGATGGTGAGGTGGGTGAATACGATGGTAAGCCGCGGCCACTGGACTGCTGGCGACGTCCACATGGACACATGATCATCACCGATTTGGAAGGGTCAGATGTGTCTGGGAGTGAGATGTAAATGCCGCAAGTGGTGCACGTTGACTCATCGAGGCACTCGGTACATCTGGGGCAAGGAGCTTCGGTGTCTGACGGCACGAGGTCAAAGGATTCGTCTGCACACAGATGTGTGTCAAAGGAGCGGTACCCATTTCGCCATGCCGCTGCTTGGCACATTGTTGTTTTACATAATTGTGGGCGGATCGACAATGTGGGTGAGGCGAAAGAATGCTCCAGGGCAGACGTCAGTGCCGTAAACATGACGGATTGGGAAAAGCGGCATCCTGTGATGTCCAAAAGAGTGAGTGTCGTCTTGCGGGGTGGGTAAGTACTGTCCCGGGTGATATTTTCCAAGACTTGAGGAATGTTATATCGATCGAGATACTCGTCCCGTATGTCCCAAGAAACACCGGATGAGCGAAAAAATGTCCCAACAAGCTCTTACAGATGATTGACTTGCAGTTTCGGAAGACTACGTTGCGGATGAATGGCCAAGTGAGCACTGCGAGCAGCGTCCAGTTGGAGAGGCGGTCGGAGCTTATGACCGTGACTGTATGAATTTGCGAGAGGAGACGAGCTTTGGCGAGGGAGATAGGCTCCTCCTCGCCTGCGCAGAGGCAAGCTATTGTGTCGAGGGTGTCCTGGAAACCTGCGTCGCTTAGCTTTGGCGTATTTCTGAACACGATGCGGTTCCACAGTTCGGGGGATGCAGCGACGCTCCGAAGAGCACGGCAGGAGAGGGCCATGCGAAGAATATCGGGTGTGGTGAGGTTGTTGCAGATGCGCAGCAGAGTTTCGACTGGGAGACCCGTGAGGGAGCGAGCGAGGGGTGACGGATGGTAATTCATTGGTGAGTGGAAGGAAGATTGTGGAAAGACCTAGCTGGGAAATGGCAAGGCGTGCTCCGGTGGCGAAAGAACGGGGCAAATTTGAGGACCTGGCAAGTGTTCATTGCCGCCTTTCTTCAAATGTTATTGGATTGACAAAAGGTGTGAAGGAGAAGAATCTGTTCATCAAACTGTAAAAAAAAAACATTCTCAACGATGGAACTACCTCCGCCAAGACGGAAACGCATCGGCTATCCATCTCAACAACCCTCCCCTCCATCTGTTTGGCCGGTTCCCGTGGTACCACTGGAGCTCGATTCGACAGGACCAAGACATAAAACCCGCGCCGAACCATTCGAGTGAACTATTCGACACCTTTCTGAACTCCGTGCGCATTCATCCGTCCGACACCACAACCTTCCGTACTTTGAGCAGGGGTATAACGTCGTCTCACAAGTACCTCAATTTCCGCAGCAGGAGATCTCGCAGTTTGTGCAGCGCAAGTTGGCCGCTGTGCGCGGCACAAGGGGCAGCAACGGATAACATGAGGTTGGCGACGACTTAATGGTGCGAGTGGGTTACCAAAGTTTTGAGAGAGCGTTTCGTCACTGTAAGATGGGCATGGAGTGATGCGAAGTTTGCGTGGGTTGTTGTTATTTGGAAGAGAGAGATAGGTACCACATCGAGTGCAATTTGATTGGGTGAGACGTAAGTGCACCGTGGCGCTGGAGCACAAGCGTCCGTGGGAACAAGAGAACATGATTCCTCTGAAGAGAGGTGAATGGGGTGGCCCAAGGGGTTCTCCAATATCCTGCAATATCGAGCTTTGCAGAGCTGTGGTCGGACCGTGACTGGAGAGGAAAATTTATGTTCCAGAGCAGATTCAAGAGCTCTAATGAAGTGTGGCATTCGCAATTTACATCCGGTAAGGTCAAGGAAGGGCAAACTGGTTGGTCGACGTGGAACCACCCAAGCAGCCCGCGTTCGAAGCACGTCAAAGCGCGGAATATGCCCTTTAGGTCTTGTTGAGTTACAGTTCTGTCCACAAGACCGGAAAAGAGGTCCGGAAACGTAACCGATATCGAGGGCACTCTCGGAAATGTACTTCACGGATGGCAGGGCAAGAGATAACATCGATCACCAGCGCATGATTAAGGAGGTGAGACTTCGAGCCGGTGACGCTGACGGTGTGTATCTGCGCGATGAGTCGCTCTCTCCACGCACGTCTTCGCCTGGGAGACCGCGCAGTCGTGCCAAACTTATCATTGGTGAGTGTCGGAGCGCAGTTGCACAAGATGGATTTCCAGAGCCTGTGACTTTGCGGCGTTTCGGAGAGTGCTGTAACAACGTACGACACGGAGAGACCTAGGTGTGGAGAGAAAGCGGTAGATACGTTCGAGAATTTCGATAGGGAGAACGAGCAGTGACAGGGAGTTGGGCATGAGTGCAGTCGTCAGTAAAGGCAAAGGTGTTTTGAGTTGTTGAAAGAAATTTGACAGTGTGTGGCAAGCTGGATGAGGTCATCAATTACCGCAGAATTCTCATCCCGCCTTTCAACGGACCATATAAGCCCGCTTAACACGAGCTACATTTCTCATCAAACTCAGGATCCGTGAAGCTTCCGCATGAGAGTAACCTGTTCGGATTTGGAGTTGTTTGTAGTTATGTCGCACCTCATGTACTAAGAAAAGCTCTTCTCACCCGTGACAGCTAATAACTGATCTAGGGCACAGTTTTTTATGCAACTGGACCCACATGGTAATGGGGAGACAGAATTTTTTTTTCAAAACTATTGATGTCGAGAGCAACCCAAGCTCCCTTCCATTGTATACCACCAATCGAAACTCGTTGAAGATGGAACGATGAACCTATCGTTAGAAGGCCTCTCACCGTTTTCGAAGGACTCCTGTTTCAATAACGACCCGTCGGCCAAGTTAGCGGCAGAACTTCCTTGTGACACATTTTCCCCACGTTTCCATATGTCACATTCCGACGGGGACAACATCACAGACCCAGACGCAGAATCAGACGGAAGAACGCTCGGCTCTGCTGGCCAGAGCTCACTGTTACCTACGGCGGCCCATAGGAACCGGGCCTCGGCAACACATCGCGGACACGGCGACGGCACTTCCTCGTCAATGCGCGCTCCCCTGGACACGAGCTCGTCGATCTCTGATGGAGAATCGCGGCCTGTCGGGGACGATTCCGCAGCGGATGGCGAGGGGGACACCACGACTCAGACGTCGTCAATCGTGGCAGCATCTGTCGCTGGACATTCCCCCACAGCCGCTCTGCTGATCATCGGGTCGCAGATCCTCGATGGCTCTGTGTCGGATGCTAACGCGCCGTTTCTCTGCAGAGAACTCTACAAGATTGGGGTCGCCGTGGAAAAGGTTGTTTTTCTGCCAGACGACGTGAGAGCCATTTCGGAGGAGGTGAAAGCCGTCACGGGAAGATATACTTACGTATTTACAACCGGTGGTAAGTTGAAAACATTTCGTTGTTGGCAATGCCGCTCAGCGGGCCGCACTCAAAACACAGGTGTCGGCTGCACTCACGACGACTGCACCATGGAGGCAATTTCTCGCGCATTTGGAGATAAGCTCGTGGTCCACGCCGAGCTCTATAACGTACTTCGGAAAAACCTCGACTCTGGACTGAAAACGACGCCTTCACCCGCAACTGAATCGGGCGCCCGTGCTCCTCCGTTGTCATCCACACCCCGCTCTCTGTCATCTTCCCTTCTTCCACCTGCGTCAGAGCAATCTCTCACAACCAACCTCATTCGAATGGCCACCATCCCCTCGTCGTCAATCCTCCTGTACCCTCCCAGCAGCACATCACCCTCGTCACAACCATCCTCACCAATCCCATCCCCAAGCCCGCCATACCCGCTCCTCTCCACACACAACGTATACTCCCTCCCAGGCCCGCCACTCGCCGTGGCGTCCCAATTCCCCAAATTCGTTGAGTACTTCCGCTCCCACCGCCCCTTCGCCCGTCGCGTTCTGCTGCTGGGCCGATCCGAAGCCGATCTCGCCGCAACCGTCGACGAGCTGGCGTGGCGGTTTGGTCGACGCGGTGTCAGCGTGGGCGTCCACGAGATCGCAGACGCCTCGCCCCTTGGAGACCTTGTGGCCTCGTCGAGGGGGACGCCGGTCACCCGCGTCACTATTGTTGGGAAAGACCCGTCGCTCGTCCGTGCTGCTCGTGACGGTCTGGTATCCGCCGTTCCCCCGGACTGGATTCTTTCCGAAGATGAAGAAGCGCCTGGTCAAAGCGCGTTGTCCAGTTCGAACCCCCTCACCGGGTCTCGAAATCCTCCTCCCAATGGAACCGACGACCTGCCCACT